ATTTTCAACGCAGACTTGGCCCAGCCCCACAAAAGGATCCGGGGATATTTCAGAATATTATCGGATATATTTAAAGTGTATTTCCACTTTTGCAGTCAAATTTGAGAAAACCCCTCTGTATGTTTGTTATGTGCTCCTGTTCACACAGCGTGCTGAAACAAATTACTTTTAAAAATGTTTTTAGATGTTTTGTTACAGCAGGCAAGATGGCTGATTCCAGGTTTTTCTTTGCCCTTTCACAGTGGTCTGTCCTAATAGAAAGGCTTAGGACTGGAATTTGAGGATTGTGTTTATCTGATAAGCTTTATTAACATACAATAAACAAGCCACCTCAGACCCCTCACAACTCCTCCTAACATTTAAAAAAAAAGAGATGCAAGAAGAAATGTTAACCCTTAAAACCCTAACTCAAGTAAAAGCAATTTAAACTGCAAGAAGTATTCTAAATATATTGTTTTAGCTTATGCTACGTGAATGGGAACATGTAACAAATATAAAATAGGTGTTATGCCAAACTGACTGTGAAAGGGTAAATACATTCTAAGGGTTGTTTAAGACCAATGCAGAGTACAGTAACCCACAGCCAGCAATGCTCCTTCCTACCCAGAAGAGCTGAATATTTGTGACAGCTGCTATGGAGAAACAGAGCAGAGGGGGAGCACAGTGAGAGTGGCTATAAGTGGGTCGGAGTTTGGCTAGTAAAAGGCACCTGGAATTCTCTTCAGGAACTGAAGTCTGTATTTCCTATCTAAGCACTTTAGGGCTGCCAGAGACTCTGGGAGTGATGTGAAATGCATGCAAGCAATCAAAGGGCCTAATGTTCATGTCTTGTGGCAATTTAGTCATTTGCAAGCAAATGCAGAAGCTGAACTCCAGCATGCCTAATTTCTACCTGAATTTGACTTTGTAGAAGTGATTACAAGAAGCAGATAGCGACTGATGGAGAGAGGGGCAGTACTTGGATAAATTCGATGTCTAGTAGGCATATGTTTTGACAAGGTACAAACTGAATGGGGGAGGGAGCCTGAGAGATGACTTTGTTTGTCTGCTGCTGATTCTTCGCTATCCAATACCAGGCTGGGGACAAAGAGGTGACCTGCCAGTGCCTATGTTCCTTAAGTGCAGTAGAGAAAAGTCAGGTCAACAACCTGGCTTTGCTGGGTAAATCTCAGGCATGGATGGAGAGAAGTAAAAATTCCTTTACAGTTAAGACAGTTTTTATATATGTATATTAATTATGTATTTAGCTGTTGGCCTGAAGTCAATGAGAACTTCCAAACACAGTAAAACAACACCCATCAACATGAGCCCTTAATGGGCTCACAGGAAATGGGTTTAATATCATTGGGCATCATTTAACCCACAAGAGAACTGGAACTGGAGCACATAATGGTAAGTCTGCTGGGGACAGTGCAGGGGAGAAGCTGAGTATTGCATTTTTTGTTGACTTACATAAGGGTGACCAATGGATTAAAAAAAAAAAAAGTCTCACTGGAGTTGAGCTTTAATTTTATGAGTTAGAATAGATCTGGAATAGAATGAAACCAATACATTTCCTCTAATTGAAACCAGATGACCGCTCTTCATCAAAATCAAGTAAGATTAGTCACAATAGCCACGTCTCCTCCATATCACTGGACCAGGTCCACTGGACAGTTGGTAGACGTGTCTGGAATGATCATCACCATTCTTTCATGTAATGCGGGAATCCCTTTTCGGGACTGGTTCATGGCTGGCAGGCTCTGAGCTATGCTTCTCTCAGACGCTCGTAAAGTTCACAGTTTGGTTTTTTTATTCCCAGGCCTGGAAAAGTTATGTTAACCAACTACTGAAAATTAGACTGGACACCGGGGGTATGTTTACCTTGATGGCACATGATACATAAAATCTAGAGGTCTTCCTAAAAGCTAGTGACATTAATCCCTGAAATGAATGATTGCACATGGGAAAATATCCCGATCCGTGCCAAGCTCTGCACTCTTCCCTTTGTGGTCTCAGCGTTTTAACAAACTCTGATTTTTCATACTCAGCTTCCAAGACTTTGACAAAGACATTTCCCAGATGTTTTAGCCAAGACTGAAATTCCGCTTTCCAGGGCTGACTCACTCTAAACAAACACTCTTTGGGTGCCGGGCAGCCCCTAAAAGGAATTACATATAAATGTTACAAGTTCTTATACTGTAATCCAGAAACCTTTAAAATAGAGATTTGTTTGGGACAAAACTCCCAGAAAAATTATATAATATTTACATTTGAGCTGTAGAAGTTCTCGTATTGAAGGTTAAGGATCAGTTCCCCGATTTGCAGCCAACAGTTGTGGACTGCATTCTGGTTAGACCAAATGATGTGTAGCTGCAGACTTCATTAGGCCTCCATTCACACCTGAGCATTGCGACAATACGCGTGATTGCTGAATCACGTGGAAAAACGTATGCCTTCAGTGGCTTCAGTAAATTTGTGCTTTGTGCAACTGATTGGCTCTTGGTGCTGCTTCTACCTCTCCCGATCTGAGATCTGCTGTACAGCATGTGATACTAAGTCAAATTTAGGTACTTACACTGCTTGCATTTAAAAAATATATAATGCATAATATATCTATATATTAGTTATTACAGAGCATTACAATACAGTACATTATATTACAGCCTACTTAGAATGAACGTGCCCCCTTAATGCTGCACAGTTTAATGCACTGTATCGTGTTGCATAATCGAAATAGTGTTTTGGCTGACAGTGCAATGTGCAGATCTCCCTTTACAATGCTAGCTGCCTTACCGTCATGTTGATCCTTTGGTTTATGATTTCTAAATCATTGACCTGGAACAAGTATGCAGCCAGTGAAGGCAAATATTTTGAGCTGCATGCTTGTTCCAGGTCTCTGACCAAGAATGTGTTATGCCTTAAAATCAGCATGACAGCCAGACAACCAACATTTTAGGAAGGAGGTCTACAATGGCAGTCCATGTTTTTCTCCCATGACATGTTTCCTTTAAGGGCCAGGCATACGAGATTTTTTTATACAAGTGATTTATTTATTTTAATTGGGAATCAGCTAGTAAAAATTCTGCCCTGAACTGACAATCTTTGCATCATTCCAGTATTCAGTTTGATGGGCAATGTGGCATACCTTATTCCCCTGCTGAAGCCTACCACTTGTCAGCAAAATCTCTATAGACTGCTATAAAGTGGCAACTAATTCTAGCAAGGTGCAGAGAGGCATGCTGGGAATGGAAGTGAGCAAGCTCCTAATTTTTACACGTGAAGGAGTGATCAGTGGAGATGTGCCCCCATACATTGGAGGCCAGTGTAGTGTTCCCTGATATTGATGGACAGTGGAGAAGGGCCCTTACAATGATTGTCTGTGTAGTCTCCCCTGATATTGGTAAACATTGGAGAAGGACTGTCTTACAATGGTGGCCAGTGTAGTGTCCCCTGCTATAGATGGACAATGTAGAAGGGCCCTACAATGATGGTCTATGTAGTCTCCCCTGATATTGGTAATCATTGAAGAAGGGCTTCCTTACATTGGTCATCAATGGAGAAGGCCTGTCTTACAATGGTGGTCAATATAATGTCCCCTGATATTGGTCATCAATGGAGAAGGACTGTCTTACAATGGTGGCCAGTGTAGTGTCCCCTGCTATCGATGGACAATGTAGAAGGGCCCTACAATCATGGTCTTTGTAGTCTCCCCTGATATTGGTAATCATTGAAGAAGGGCTTTCTTACATTGGTGGTCACTGGAAAAGGGCCCGTAAAATGGTGGTCAAAATAGTGTTCCCTGATATTGGTCATCAATGGAGAATGACCCCCTTACATTGATGGTCAGTGTAGTGTTCCCTGATATTAATGATCAGTAGAGATGGGATCCCTTATGAAGGTAATCACTGTAGTGCCCTGTTGTATGGTAGTTAGCGGGGAACGACCCCCTTACAGTGGTGGAGTGAGAAAGGGGCCCCTTACAGTGGTGATAAGTAGAAAAATGCCCTTCTCCACTGATCATCAATGTAAAAGTGCATAGTCCATATTTAAAAACAAAAATGGGCAAGACGCAGGGTTGTCAATATTTCTAGTGCCAATATATAAGTTTAGAAGGTTATGCTTTAATATCCCATGTAAATAGAGCACTTGCTTTGAAACCGATCCAGATTCATTCCTCCTAAGTCCCAATGGTCAGGGCAGCGACACCTTAGTATGTTCATAGCATGGCCAGTATACCTCTATGGTAAATGCAAGCTGTAATTCACATAATTCTTCCTTCCAATTTTCATGCAGATCACGTCCAAAATTGGCATTGTTAGATTTTGGATTTATTGATAACTGAGAACAAAAATAAAAACCTTTTTTTTTTCTCAATAGAAGTCTTTATTACAGATCTTCAAAAAGTTCACATCAGTTGTCGGTAGGCTACATTCGCAGCTCTGCACTTTTCATGCAGTGTAATGTTTTATCAGTGTTTTACATGCTGTACGTGCCTTTAATCCCTATAGTAGGTGCATTTTGCTGGAAACTGCATCAAACATGTGTGAATATACCCTAGGGGGTCTATTCATAAAAGTTCTGGGTGGATGTCGTTTACATGGCACTAGTCCCCCTAGATGGCATCGATGGGTATAGGAAATCCTATACTCATCAGAGTCACCTAGGGACACTAGTGATGTGCGAACTACACCCGCCTGGCTATACGCTGGGCACAACTGTTACAAATAAACCCCTAAGTGTATGTCTTGACATATACCCAATAATCAAATGCCTAAGTGTATGTGCTGGAATATACCCAATATATCACTTCTGTATATACAGGAGTTACAACACATTATGGTCGAAACCCCTTGTTATGAACATTTCCTGTGTGCCTCCATTGTGGTCTCATTTAAAGAAATGACTCATTGGTTGACTCTTTAATCACCTCTTTGGTATGATATAGTGTAAAACCGATATATATTTCACAATTATTAATTTTGAATGAATATTTTTCTGTTTCCTGTTCTTTGTTTCAGATGGGCTCATACACGCTTCTGTATGACACAAGGACGTAACCACTAAAAACGCTTAGGTAACAATGAAAGTTCGTCTCAAAGGGGATGTTCTCTGCACTCTTTTTCTCTTCATCGCGCTGTGTACATTATTATACAGTCTGATGAGACCAACATCCAAAATATCTCCTGTTAAACCAAAGCAGGTGAAGATTGTGTCCAAGACTGCAAAGCCGAAGAAGTTTTTGGAGACAAAGGAAAGGCCAAGTAGTACGAGACTCCTCTCAGAAGCGTATCCTGTAGAAGAGGATATTCAGGAGGATAAGCCTTCTGATCATGCTGCGGTTACACCACCAACCTTTGACTTCCAGCAGTATCTGAGGAGTAAAGACCAGCGAAACTTCACCCTGCTGATCAACCAGCCAAACAAATGTACAAAACCTCCAGGAGATTCCTTCCTCCTCATTGCTATAAAGTCTATCGTGGAAGATTTTGACCGTCGAGAGAGTGTACGTAAGACCTGGGGTCGAGAAGGGGTCATTAATGGGGCAAGGGTTCGGAGAGTGTTCCTTCTGGGCACTCCGAGGAATAAATCTGCCATCTCTTTGTGGGACTCCCTTTTACAACAAGAGAGCCATTACTACAAGGACATTCTACTTTGGGATTTTCTCGACACTTTCTTTAACTTGACACTGAAAGAGATTCACTTCCTTAGCTGGGCAGAACAATTCTGCAGCAACGTTAAGTTTGTATTCAAGGGAGACGCTGATGTTTTTGTCAATGTAGAGAATCTTATTAGTTACTCACAGACTCAAGATCCCTCCACAGACTTGTTCGTTGGTGATATTATAAATCATGCTAAGCCTATAAGATCAAAGAAGAGTAAATACTACATCCCAGAGACAATGTATGGGTTAGGCATGTACCCAGCATACGCGGGTGGGGGGGGATTTCTAATGTCAGGTGTAACCATGAAGAAACTATCCAAGTCCTGCAGGGAGGTGGAGCTCTTCCCCATCGATGATGTTTTTCTTGGCATGTGCTTACAGAGAGTTAACATCACACCAGTGCTACACGAAGGGTTTAAAACCTTTGGAATTACCAAACCCTCAGCAGCCCCCAACCTGCAGACGTTTGATCCTTGCTTCTACCGGGACTTGATGGTGGTACACAGCCTTAAAGCTGCAGAGATCTGGCTCATGTGGAATCTTCTCCACAGCCAACAATTGCCATGTTCCCAGAGACAGCGAATAAAGAAACTCTTTCACTGGAAGAAGAAGAAGGCAAAGCAGGCTTTAAAAGCAGTTACAAACCAAAAACGGAGGACAGCTGTCTCAGATACAGGCTCATAGAATGGAATGATGGAAATGTTGGGACTAAGGGACAATGTTAATAAATCAGAAAGTTTTCAGGTCTGGAACATAATAAATCAGAAAGTTTTCAGGTCTGGAACATACAAATCAGTTAAGTGTTTCCCAACAGGCCCTGATTACTCAGGACATTCCCAGATTATGGTGACAAGATGGGCCATATGTGGATCCAAAAGTAGCTGGAGTTAGAGAGGCATAACCGCAATCGAATGTTGTTGGTCATGGGATTCCCATATTTGTTCTTGGAAGTGAAATGTAAGCAACCATGCAGTTTCAAGAAAAACCTGGAAGAGAAGATATATGTTTGGTTGTTTAACCTTCTATGATAAGCTGGATTCTGACTGATTACAACAAACATGCCTGCTTCCTTCTTCTTCATAGGATATCCTCCAGAGAATGCGATATGTCTTCTCAGCTGCCATAGAAATTCACAGCAACAGTTGTATGAAAACATGTTACATAGGGTTGTATTTATATTGCTTTCCAAATAAGACGTCTTCACAATACCAGCCTTCATGTGTAGCTGTTATTAGGTCACCTGTAGTTATTTGTGGGCTGCATTAATATACATCATGAGAACAAAGCCTACTAAAGCACAAAAAGCACATAGCTTATGTATATAGAAAAAATAATACTATGGTGTGGTCAAATGGGTTCTTCTGAATAAAAATGTGATCTGAAGTCAAGTTATGATGAACAGTACCAGTTGTATAAAGTGCTATTGCAATGTTAACATAGAACTGAAATGATGGGAAAAGCCAACATTCGGGCAGCCCCTAGAAGTGTATGCAGCTCACCAGCAGAGGAGCAGTACAGTACTCTTTTGACTCATTCAGCTCATAGAGCCAATGTTAACAAAGCCAACACACTGGACTGGCACCAACTTCTGCAAAATCGTGTCTTAATAATTGTATGTGTGGCAGAGGGAAGGCTTTAAAATATTTTTCAGTCATTTTAGTTCTACTTTTATAAAACAGATAAATTACTTGTATTGATTTTAACGGAACACTGTAGAGTGCCAGGATTAAATTGGGGCCCTTTCACAACATTGCACTGTAACAGACAGCGCAAAACAATACAAAAAACATTAGGTCCGTTTTACTGCATTAGGCAGCCTAGTCAATAAATGAGCTGCCTTAAAGCAATGCATCTTAAAGCACAGACATTAATCATTACTGGAACAGACCTGACCAGTGTGAATGGATCCTAAAGACACATCAGGTAGACTGACCTGATGTGACTAGGCTAAAAGTGTTAGTCCACCCAAAAGTGTTTTTGCAGTTGAGGCTGAAGAGCCACTGGACCTGACTTCATATATCTCTTGAAGTCAGGCGGCGCTGCATCCAGCTTTTGACAGCTAGTTAGGTTACACACTTCCCCACTGCTTGTGTAACCTAACATGGCAAGGCAAGAGCTGTCACAGCCTCTATTCTCTGTTAGAGGCTTGAACTTTGTAGAGGTGTGAGCTCTGGACAGCTTGGACCAATGGCGCTTTGCCATTGGTCCAAACCATCCACAATCAAAAAGAAAAGAAAAAACAGTGAGGACATCGATCTCGATGCCTCACCAGTGACGAGTAAGTAAGCGAGAGGGGGGCTCCTCCCTGTCTACTCCCCAAATACCTTGGTTTCCGAGCTGGGGAGTGGCTTCAGCGGGATGGGGCCGAGCTTCTGCGGGATGGGGTGGAGCTTCAACGGGCAGGGAGTGGGGCTGGGGAATGCCTCACCAGCACATAAGGCACAGCATGTCACTATGTACACATCAAATGTTTTGTTGCTGTGTGTGTTTCTGTCTGAAAGAAATCCTAACCATATTTCCAGTTCTAGGAAAGAGCAAGCCTATTTTTATAGTAGAGTAAAAATCTGACAAGGGTTCCAATCTTTTCCTAATGTCATTTGTCCTTTGACGGAAGAGATTTCTTGTCTTCCTGTCCAGATGACAGGTGACAGAGAGAACAAGAAGTGAGAAGAAGTCTCCCCAGTGGAGAAACAGTTAGAATGTAAACCTATAGAAGAACTATCCTTTCCCTACTTTATATAAAACTAAACAATTGCTTTGTTTGGAGATGGGCATTGAAGAAGACCTGGCCCTCGTCCGATTGTTTAGTCTGCCCCCCTACCAAGGTTAGTATACTTACCTTACTTTGTGGGGTAACATCTCCATCCTTACAGTGAGGTCCCTGGGAATGCAGAGTACTCCAAACCTCACAAGATGACACTACTGTACAGGACAGAAGTGTTTTTTCTTGCAAGATTTGGGCTACTTGGCATTCCGCAGGATCTTGCCAAATGGCTGGGGATGTCACCCTTGCACAAGTAGGGATAAGGTAAGTACATTTAGCATCTTTTTTTTTGGCAGACCTTGCAATTTTAGTGCACGTTTCACTTTAAAATGTTTTCCCTGTCGCATTAATGACTTCCAAAACTGGTATTTTAAAATAAGCAATATTAATTTTCCTACAAAGCCCATAATGGAGTGCAATCATTTAGCAAATGTAAAACTAGTTTATAAAAATAAGAGCAAAAAGAAAATCAGGTATGAAATATTAGTATTCAAAAAGAACTAAAGCCAAACCTTTTGTTTGGCTTTAGTTCACTTTTGGGTCACAGGAGTACATTCACTAATGTCTTCCTGTAACCCAAAGACAGCATATATGCTGACAGGGCAGAGGCGCACTACAACTAGGAGGGATGCCCACAATATTGTTGGCATCCACCGTGCTGCCTGATTGACAGCTGCCTCTCTAGAGCCAGCTGTGTCCGCTCCCTATTCTGTCTGTCCCTCCAATGAGCGCTGGAGGAATGGAGAGAGGAGGGGGGAATACCTGCAGGGAATGGTGATTGCTCACTTCATTGTTTTCTCCCTGCAGAGAGCAATGACTGTCAAACAGTGGTTGCATGATTGCTTAGTTCTTGATCTATAGAGTCGACTCATGTCAGCTGCAGCCCCCAGCTCTAAGTATTGGGAAGAGTAATTAGTCCTCCCAGTCCTTTTTTGGGGACAACAGAATGTCTAGTGTCTATGTTGTGGAAAAGTGGATATGAAATGGGTTTTAGTTTAGCAAAGAAAATGGGCAGGGCTGCCACCACTCCATTCACAAAAAAGGTGTGTGTTTTCCGGTCACAACAGAACATTTCTCACACATCAACAAGTATTTTTCTGTACTTGCAGGGTCTTTAAAGAGATCAAATATAAGTGGATGTGCATGTATTGCAGAGATGTACTGCATTAATTATCTCCAAATTGTTATGTTGGAGGACTTATAATGAAATCCCTTCATAAACACATACCTCCTCATGGGACTGACATAAGATCAAGAGATACTGCGGTAACATTGTAGAACATAATGAAGATTCGGTCGTACACAGCAGGTGAGAACTCTCAAGCACCCTTTTATATAAACTTCGTTATGCTGTTGGGCTCATGAGGCTAAACAGGAAATGATGATGTAAGAAACTGAAGCATATGCGTTTTCCAATTACATAACTCTTGCAAAATACTGGCATCAGCTCTACCGTTGGAACTTTCTCGGTAGATAAATCTGAGTGACAACTCCAATTTGATATAAGTTAGGAAACAGTAAAGAAGAGCTGTGATTGGTTGGCGTGGGAAAATCCAGCTCCCTTTTCCTTCAGTTTTTATACAACTTCAAAAAGTCATCTGGACAAAACCTGGTGTGTCTCTTTTGGCATTTCAGTTTCTACTGCATATTGTGGAAACCTGTGCTGCCATTGCTGAACTTGCCTTCTAATAAAACTTGGTCAGCGATTCTCAAACTTTTCTTCAGTCGCAGCACCCTTTAAAAGTATGTAAAATCTCTAGGCACCCCACTCTAAAATGTAAAAGAAAAAAAAACACACACTTATCCTAGATAGTGGTCTGGTATGGATCCATGCAAAAAACAAAAAATTGTAAATAACTGAGTGTCCCCCCCCCCCCCCACAAAAATTCCCAGTCTTCACAGGGG